TTCACTTAGGTGTTCTTTCTTAAATAGAAGTCTGAGGCAACTCCTAAGCTCAAATATTTTATGAAGCAAATTGAGTTACAACTGAGAAAGGTAGTTCACAATGTTCGAAATGACAACAGTCTGGAGTTCAAGAATCATTTGACGAATTTCTTACAGATAAGGGAGTATCTCACAATTTCTCTACTCCATATACTCCATAGCAAAACGGGGTCGTTGAAAGACTAAACCGTTCACTATGTGAAGCTGCTAGGACCATGCTTTCGTTCACAAATATGCCTCTTAACTTATGGGCTGATGTTGTTGCCACTACATGTTTCACTCAAAATAGATCACTTCTCAATAAAAGATTATCTTTAAATCCCTATGAAATCATCAATAAGTGAAAACCTAACGTAAAATTCTTTCATGTTTTCGGGTCCAGGTGTTTTATTTTCAATTCTAAGGAATAATGAAACAAGTTTCATGAGAAGCTGATGAATGTATTTTTCTGGGATATTCGCTGACATCGAAAGCATATCGGGTTCTCAACAAAAGATCCAAAAGTATTGAAGCAATCTATTATGTCACATTTGATGATAATTAAGTAAATAAGAATCAATCGAATGAATGTCAAGAAAAAGAGATATTTCCTCCAACGAGCCAAGTGTCCATACCATTGGCTAATCTTTATGAAGAATTCATTCTTCTATTTGATGAACCTGAAAAGGATATCTCTTCTGAAGTGAAAGCTTCTGATAACAATGTCGATGAATTGAAGAAGATAATAGATGAAGCCACGAATCAAATGAACAATCATCCACTAACTGTGAACGTGCGTCAAGACACGAGCACTCCAGTCCAGGGGGAGGATTCGGACTCCAATGCACCTCCTCAGGGGGAGCAACCAACTCTACAAGAAATAAACATTCCATCCCAAAATAAAGGGGACACCTCAATTCCTAATGAAGAAGATCGTTTGTCATTCGAGGGGGAGAACAAGGATGCAAATGACGATTCAGATGCTCAATCTGAGTTTGAAGAAGTAAACGCTGAATTGGACCCCTCTTATGATCCAAATCCTCCACTCGTCAAATGGACCATAAATCACCCGAAAACCCAAGTAATTGGTGAATCTTCTGCAGGTGTTCTTACGAGATGTCAAATAAAAGCAAAACGAACTTCTTTATACTCAAAAGTGGAATTTTGTATGTTCAATTCATTCGTGTCCAAGATAGAACCTAAAACCACCAACACTGCTCTTGATCATGTTGATTGGGTACAAGCGATGCAAGGCGAACTTAATGAGTTCGAACGAAACAAAGTTTCGGGGTTAATTTCCACTCCACCTTACGCATCAGTTGTAGGTTTGAAATGGGTGTTTCATAATAAATTTGACAAAGAATGCAATGTTATAAGAAACAAGGCGAGGCTCGTGGTTAAGGGATATTTCCATGAAGAGGGTATCAACTACGAAGAAACCTTCGCACCTATTGCAAGGTTGGAATCAATTCGTATATTCCTGGCATATGCAGCTCATAAGAATTTCGAAGTGTTTCAAATGGAAGTTAAATGTGCTTTCCTAAATGGAGAATGGAAGAGACTATATATGTGGAGCAACCACCTGGGTTCGTGAATGAAAATTATCCTGATCACTGCTATATTTTGGACAAGGCAGTCTATGGTCTGAAGCAAGCATCAAAAGCCTGGTATGAAACTCTTACTCGTTTTCATAAAATGTCCAAATTCAAAAAAAGTTTAGTTGACCTAACCTTATTTCACAAGAAAGAGGGTGATCACTTGATGATCGTCCAAATTTATGTTGATGCGATCATCTTCGGATCTACTAATCCCATCCTAACAGCTGAGTTCCGAAAGTTGATGGAAACAAAATTTGAGATGAGTTTGATTGGTCCAATTAAACTTTTCCTTGGATTACGCATTAGATAGGGACAAGAGGGAATTTTCATAAATCAGGAAGCATACACAAAGACCTTACTTGCTATGTTTGGTATGGTGGGAGACTCAAAAGTTAAGGTTCCCATGGCATTCGGAATGAAACTGACTCCATCTCTAGATAAACCAACTGCTGATATGACCCTTTATCGTCAAATGATTGGTTCACTAATGTATCTAACAGCTAGTAGACCAGATATTATGTTTTCTGTTTGTTATTGTGCTAGGTTCCAAGCCAATTCTCGCGAACCTCACATGGTGGCTGTCAAGAACATCTTCCGATATCTAAAACGAACTTCATCTTTGGGCATATGGTATCCTGCGAACTCAGGCTTCTTTGTTCAAGCTTTTTCGGATGTTGGTCTTGGTGAATGTGGCTTAGATAGAAAAAGCACAACTGGTGGATGCCAATTTCTTGATGGAAAATTGGTTAATTGGCAATCCAAGAAACAAACATGTGTATCGTTATCAACAACTGAGGCAGAATCCATAGTTGCAACTTCGTGCACATCTCAGGTCATTTGGATTCAAAGCTAGCTTTGTGATTATGGATAGAGTATGAAAAAAATCCCTCTGTATTGTGATTTTGAAAGTGCAATTCACATTTGTCACAACCTAGTGAAACCCTCATAGACGAAACATATAGCACTGAGGTATCACTTCATCAAGGATCACGTGGAAGAAGGAAACGTCAAGATACATTTCGTAAGATCGACTGATCAGTTGGCTGACATATTCACTAAGGCCCTTCCTGAAACAAACTTTAATAGAATCCTTCAAGGTCTAGGAATGATGGAAGGTGAATCAGTACCAAAACCACTTTCGCACTAATAAAGAAGTAACTACGAAATGGTGTGAACGCTCGCAGTCTTTCGCAGACAACTGTTCATCCAATATTTTCTTTATTGCTGCGAATCAATGTGAACGTTTGTAGTAGTTCACAGTTCAATGTTTATTCGTGGTTTGGTTACTTATATCCTTTTGTACTTTATGTATACTTTAGCTAATCTTTATTTCATATCATTTCTGTTTTTATATCTTTTTCAGAAAATCCCAAAATCCAAAAATAATCTATTTATTTCTATTTTATTTCTTTTCAGAAAACCAAAAATACAAAAATAAGTTTCTTGGTTTAGTTATCTGCTTAGTCACACTTGTTTAGCAGAGGTACTTTCGGTTCTTTAACCACCTTCACTATTCTCCATATATCTTCGCACTCATTCATGTAACCATTGAGACTCTCAGATATACCATTGAGGTTTATGGTTACAAAATATATGTGTTCATTATCTTAGCTTCGTACACCACGATCTAAGTGAAACCCACAATCCAACACATTTACATGAATTGACGGTGAAAAATTACAAGTTCTAGACTCTCATCATGTAATTAACCATATCCAATTCCGTAGCTTGTACCTAGAAATCTCATCTGTTATGTGTGATATTTATGGAGTGTTCTATTACCAAGTCACTTCTTCCAAAAGGATCCAGTTTTATTTTTGTCTGAGATTTCAAAAGTTGTATCTTGTCACCAATATATCTACGAACCTACTCGTTCAACTGACTACACTGATCACACGAGTACTTCATCCGACATTCGTTCTTATATCAAGTTCGTTGTCTGGATTGGAGAGTTAAACACCAAATAAACCGAATTAAAAGATGCCTTTCAATGTTTCTTAACAAACAAATGATCGTACTTCAACGGGAAACCACACAGAAACTTCTTAGTCTCTCTTGACTTTGCAGGACGAAATCTTTTCTCGGGATTAAAAGATTTGTCTTTGTATAGACATAACATACTTTCCCAGATATACTTGATTTATTCCTTTATCTTTGACACTCTTGCATGAAGATCCTCATGATCTTCCAAAAGTTTTGTTCATGGTTCTTTATCATTATTCCAGGTTCGTAGTTTAACCTAAGTTTTTCTAATAATGAAGGTTCATAAAAGTTGGACAACTATGAACGATAGATGATGATGAGGCAAATTTTGATGATAAGAATTCAAAAGGGCATGTGCAAAATTTGAACGGCCAGATGTTTTTCCGCCGTATGAAGCATGGTTCTGACATCTACAGTTGTCAAGTTGCACTTTTTCAGGCAATGTTTCAGTACCCGATGCATTCTCTCTCCAGATTTTCCTCACAAATCAAATAGTATATAAATTTTTTGACAGTTCCTCTCTCATTATCACTTTAAAAATCTTCTCAAAAGATATCCGGAAAACAAAATGCTCTCTACTGTTCATCGTCTTCTTCAAACCTTCAACAATGGCTACTTCATCATCAGTTTAAGATCAAAATGTTCACTCTTCTCTACTGGCAGTCAAACCGAATCAGAATCTTCTGATTGATTTGGATCCTTGCAGATATTAGTCGTATATTTTAACAATGATTGAGTGCCTCAAGTATTCACCACTGGTTCATGCTTTAACAAAAATGGAGGATGTTCCAATGTCTCTTCTATCCAAGGCGTATTCTTCTGAAAGCTAACCTCATGGAGGAGAACAATATTATCTTTCATATTCATGATCAGAAAGCATCTATCTCAAAACCCATATTTTGCTCTCTTCTAGGGCTTCCACAAACAGAGGATATGATTAACCCTAAAACTATCTCCCGTGCTGCTCTCCTGGAGATGTTTTATCAAATGGGATACAATGAGCCTCTATCATCACTCTCTAAATTTCATAAGCCCACCCTTCCTCCGCAATGGAATACCTTATTCACGATCCGATTCAAAAGCTTTTCTGAAAGAATTACAGGGTCCAACTGTACAAGTAAGTTATTCATGACCCTCCTCTATGGCTTCTACACAGGGATGAACATCGACTTTGGAGCAGTTCTATGGGCTCAGGTGATTCAAAGCACTATCTCCACGTCTCGTCATACTGATATTTCTTGTGCAAGGTTTTAGTCCCTGATAGTTCGTAGGGCAATTTTAAAACGCAAAATCCCAATGATGCAGGATGCCCTTGCCTTCACCGTTTCCACCCTTCGTATAAAAGGGATAATTGTTGCCGATCCATCAAAATTCTGATTTTTTGGATTTATCCTAGAAGTCATGTTTCAAGATGTTCCTACTTTAAGTAAAATCCTAGAAGGCTTTCACAAACTTACACCTTCAGGGTTCAGGCCACTCACTCCGGAAATGCAAGCAACTCTTGATGATGCTGATAAACCGAAGAAAGGAGGTACAGGGTCAAAGAAAGGAGTAAAAAAGGTTACTGCTATGAAAGGTCCATATGATGCTACAAAACCTTCACCTAAAAAGAGAAAGGCACCCACAACATCTTCTACTGTTGTTCTAAAAAGAAGAAAACAACCGGCTCGCAAACGCAAAACTCCTACACCATCAGCAAGCGAAGAGTCAGATTCTGAGATTGAGTTAGATGTTCGAATTGAAGAAAATCAGCCCGTTCGCAATTAGGAAGAAATACTTGTTCGTAATGAAGAGGCAGAGACAATTCGTAATCAGGAAGAGATTGTAAACCCAAAGATTCCAGTTCACAATGAAGAGGATACTACGAATCAGGAAATAAACCAATCTATTCATGACTCAGTTCCTTCTCCTCCTCCTTCACCAAAAACAACCTCAATCCCCATCATTATTGATCCCTGTTCTCCTCTTATTACCTTATCTCAACCAACAACAGTTCCCATCTCCATAACAATCTTAACTAATTCCACTACCAAACCCATCACTTCAATGATTCTTGAAGTTACACTCAGTGTATCTGATACGGGGGCTAAAACTTTTGTTTTCACTACCCCTATTTCTTCATCCATCTCTCCCATTTGTAATGATGATCCCGATATGATATTTGGAGATGATGGTGATGATGATGATCTTGGGGTATTGACATATAGTCCATTTCAAATCAGGACTGAAAGAGAAGATGAAGCCCAGTTTCGAAAGGTCGGCTTAAAGGTATTCATGAGAAACTCGATCAACAGTTTCTAGCCTCCAAGGCTTCCTCCTCTGACACCTATTCAAAAGAAACCTTTGAATCCTTATTTGAGAGAATAACAAAAGAGCATCCACAGAATGCTGCAAAGATGAATGAAAAAGTATTCGAATCTACTGATGTCTGCAAATCAACGACCGAAAAAGTCGATAAACTAATCGCTAAAATGACTACTTTCATGGGGAATTACTGAACAACCTACAACAACAACATCGACTCTACAAATGAAGCTCTTCAGAACTTGGGAGCAATGTTCAAAACTAAGAAGATCAACTTAGAGAAGATTTGTACTGGGTTGCAGCAAGATCATGCATCGTTCCAAACATCCCTCACTTTGCAAATTACAAAGCTTCAGGATGATTTGGCTATGAAAAGTAAAATTATGGATGCCCTAGCGAGGAAGACAGAGAGGGTCAAGGTGTTGGATATTAAGCTTCAACAATCTGAGAAACAGGTCGAGGATTTGTTATCTAAGAGGGTAGCTGTGCGAAGTTGCATTACAGATGTCACTGGTTTGCTCTCTGATATCATTGAGACCGGGGACTCGATGATTTCTATTACGATTTGCAAACACCTTGCTAAGAAGTTAAGCGTCGTCTTCGCAATGTTGCATCATTTGAAGGGTGTTTGTCCTCAATCGTCTGAACATAAACAAGGGGGAGAGGGTGCATCTAAAATTCAACCTCCAAAAGTCATTTTCAAGCCCATTATCAATAAAGAACCTAAGGGCAAGGATAATTTGATCGAAGAGCCTATAATTGACAATGATGAAGATGAGGAGCCTGATGAAGCTAAACTTAAAAGCCGAAAGTCTCGCGATGTGAACTGAATGAAATTTAGCGAATCGTCAAAGAGACTGAAGAGAAGGAAAGGGCAAGAAAGGAAGCTCATGACAGTCTCAAGAGCAAAATGTTATTATTCCCTAAGTGGACCTTGAAGAAGATTCATCATGATGCTGTAGAGGTGCCTAGTCAATATTGGTTAGATCCTGTTGCATCTATTGATTGTCAAAATTCTCAGGATTCACAACTTGATCTTCTAATCACTCCAAAAGCATTATGGTTCCATGCTTTTGTGAAGCTAGCGAATGCTCCTTTCATAGATAGTAGTGTCGATTAGTTGTTGTTCTCTTCCTACTTAAAGCACATGAAGCCCCAGTACAAAACTTGGAGTGCGCACAAAATTGATGCCATGAAGGTCACTAGGCCAATCGAGACTGAAAGCTTCCCAAATGCGAAGTTTAAAGTTGCGAGAGGATCAACTTGTCAAGCCTACGAATTCACCCTCACAGACATGCCATGTTTAAATCCTAATGACTCGATCGTTCTCTACAACATGTTGATGCGAGAGAAAGATAAGTACGAGCCTGTTATGTCCTATCTCCAAGTTATGATCAAGTCATATATTCAAGAGGTTGGATCGATGGATGTGGACATTGCCACTGTTTTGAAAAAAAAAAAAGCCGATAATTGTTCCTAAGGAAGCTCCGGAAGACTTCGAGAAATTAAAGTCAAGGAAAATATAAAAGGAAGGATTGTTCATAATGTATCAGTCTAGAGAGCGAACAAAAGATAACTTTTGAAAGTCTTACTTCTATCTCGAAGAAAAACATCTCTACAACAGTGCCTGTCTAGAATTTATATTGGACTTGATCACTAAATTCAAGGACAACCACAAGGACGATGTTAAGTGCTTTTATGATATGACACTATGGTACATTCATGTTCACAGGATGTTGCTGAGCTTTATTTCGAAAATCTACAAAGTGAAAAAGCGAATCACTCGACGATGGGCTACAAGCTCAATTGATGCAAAGGGGGAGATTGTAGAATATTAAAGTGTTGCATCATTGGGCTTTGTTATTAGTCCTTTTATTAAACAGCTTGGGCCTGTCCTTCTGTATTTAATTCTACAGTTAGAGTATATATGGTGTATGCATGCATCTTATTTTAGTTAACTGTTTTTATTGATCTTGTAACCCTAGAATGCCTCTATAGTTGAAATTCTTCATCGAGTTCTTATGAGGCATGACTTTTAATCATTCAGCCTTTTTTAATTATCTTTCTGTTCGTTATTTACCTGTTTGAATCTTATTGATCATTAGGGTTTTTAATCCTATCACCTTCCCGAGCAATCAAACCCATACAGAAACTGCCAACCTGAAGAAGAACAACCCATGATCTTAAGCAAAGACCCAACCTTATATATATATATATATATATATATATATATATATATATATATATATATATATCCAGACTTAGGTATCAAAATTTTCAAACTCCCAGACCAACATACATATAACAACCAGCTCACAAGCATGAACACTCCTACTTGGCCCAATCAGCCTCGAGCTAGAATACCAGGCATGTCTATGATGGGTCCAATCATCCTCATGATAGAATACCCTTGATTGGAATACCATTATATACATAACTTGGGTCTTAACTCATAACCTGAGATCCAAGGATGTACCCTTGCATTTCACCCAAAGTCTTCTGATTCAACACAACCCTTCACCAAACCTAGATACAAAGATTTTCTCAATCGCCACTAAGACTACCAGTTTCACACCTGGTCCAGCCACTAGCTTTCCAGAACCTAGAAGATAGGGACATTCTAACCTAAACAACCCTTCAATTACACCATCATGATGACATTACTCCTTTCGCATGGAACTCGCATATGGTACCACAACCAAAAGATCCTCCGATTATGTCACAGACTCCCAGAATACAGACCTTGCATGGATACATTCACGATTCCCAACACGATTTCCCACTAGAGGCCCCTTCAAAAATGGCCGGTCATAATTTTCTCGTTGAACCTTTCCAAAAACTAATGAATATCCATTAGCTTCTGCCCCTAATCCCCAACCGGGGCACTACCAGATAAATGAAGAATAATCCTCAATACACATCTACTGCAAACTTAACCCAAAACTGAACCATGAAATTCTGCGATACACCCAACCTCTACCGACTCCGATGCACCCCTACCTAGGCATCCACTCGATGCAATCACCCAGAAATCGATGACTTATGACTGCATAAGAAATTTCCAATTTGGGAATTACAAATCTAACAACAGCTTCCGAACAACTAGAATTATATTGCATACCATCTGTCGAGACTTTCTGATACCTGATTGATACTTCTCTCAATCCTTATTGATTCTCTTATCTAACCAACAGACTTACGAATCGCCTGAAAACGTATCCACACCGGAAGCACTACAAGTAGGAGAATTGAACCATCATGATCACTAGGCCCACAACCTATGTCTGGAATACTCCCGATAACCTACCGACACTGACGTCCTCGAATCCTTGGCCCAACACTTTGGGCCTTCAAATACCCACCTCATTCCATTACCTTGAAGGGACTTAAATAACTCCCTTTGAAATGATGACTAAGTACCACAAGATAGCTACCAAGCAAAACCTTACGAAAACAAAGTTGCATACGATCCGTGGATAGGATAACGGTTGCACTCTTGATCCAAATTGAAAGCTGAAACCTGTCACACCCCAAAATCAAGAACGGCGGAAACGTTCTGAGGCGGAGGACGTCATGTACAGTATCATAACATAGTGTAATAGTAAACAAGAATAAACCATTATCCATTCCATTAAATAGATAATTTTAATACAAGTGTGTTCTGTAGTATATAAGACACCAAAACATAAATCAAAATATAAGATGAGTATTGAATGTGCTCCATCTTCCCAAAAGCTGTCATTGGTACCTATCTACTGATGACCTGAGAATACAAGTTATTTTGAAAGAGTTTATCAGCATTAAAGTTGGTGAGTTCATAAGTATTTAGTGTCTATGTTTGTATCAAAATGTTTGAACCATTGTTTGAAGTACGAGTCTGTAAACATTTGTAGTAAATGTATGTGAATGTTTTTAAGTGTTTGTAAAAGTTTGTTACCCCAAGAAAATACTATATTTTCTACTAAAAGTAGCCTTCTACCAAGGCACAATTGTTTTGTATGTTTGTTTCTTGTAAAAGTGTGTAATGTTCCCAAGTATAACTATCATTATCAAAATATAGTTTGTACACTAATGTTTAAGTGAAGTAATCACCAAATAAATGTAAAGGGTAAATTAATGTAGTACTGTAGTGTTGTATTTTAGGAACTACTGCTGTACTATCTACCTTAAACCGGATTTATATCAAGGTATTATGTGATTAATTGTACCATACTATCGACTAGAAAACACGACAATGTAAGTCATTAAAAGGTATGACATTTGGCACCCGAAGACCTGCAGGTCCCGCTGTAGCTAGCAACAAGGTGTAGGATAGTCAATCCAGTATAGATCTATACACAAACTCACACTCTCCCTCCAGGAGATTCTGGTTACAATTCGGGCCATGACAATGAAGGCCTGCTCTGATACAGTGGATCACATTTATGTTAAAGTATACTTGTATATGTAATGTATTGTTTTCTCATCATAGTATCGTTGTATATGTTCTCATCCTAGTATAGTTGTATATGTTCTCATCCTAGTATAGTTGTATATGTTCTCATAGTAATAAGTAATGACTCATGAATGAGCTGACTCTTGTATGCTTCATTGGACTAGAAGTAGTAAGTAGTATAACTCTAAACTATACCTATTATAGTTTATTAGTAAACTTGTTTGTATGACTGAATATACTGAAGTGAGATCAAAGTCTTTATATCTATACATATATACATAATATGTAACTAAGGATTCAACGACACTCAGACAAATAACTGGGTACTTTAAGACCACAACTAAACAAGGACAAGAAGTAAAGTGGGTTATCTCTCCTAAGTCCTTCAAACCTTATTTATATAACTATATATGTAGTAGACATGGTTTTAATAATATATAAGTTTGAAAACTGTAAAAGAAAGGTTTAGTATACAAAAGTGAACTTGATAAAGAGTTTAACATGTACAATAGTTTGATAAATAGTTTGAAGTCATTTGATTGGTAAAACAGTTTAAAGTATGATAAATCCATTCGTATGCAAGTTATTAATCACATGTGATTGATCTAATAACTAACATGGTTCAACTTGTATTCCCCCCCCCATAAAGCATTTAAAAGCATTTAAAAGGTTGATTAAGTTGTATGAACTCACTTGATTGAAGTGGTTGTTTTAAAGTAGTCGAGAGAATAATCGAACAGAACTTCGACTAGAGAGATTTGAAATCTCGGGATTTTTAGGGATCTCGAGAGTGTAGGACTTCCTTCGGGACTCGAGTATGAAAACCCGGGGCTTCAGGAAGGCTTATTGAGGTAATCACGCAGAGTAACGACACTTAGATGGAAAGAGATGAGCACCAAACCCGACACCCTTAAACTTCTATTTATAGGGGTTGATTTGGGGTTTCAAATCGTGAGTTTTGGATTGCTCATGTCGTGATGCTTAGTCAGCATGATCCTCTTCGATGGGTTGACTTGTCTGACACTCTGCAACCCATCAATCACGAGCTCACGTCGTGAGCATGGTTCCCTCAAGTCGTGAGGCTGAGTCAGCCTCGGGTTTTGTGTCCCGAAGTTCTAAAGTCCTTAAATTTTGTGTACGAGCTACAATTTCAACGTTCTTTATATTCACGCGTAGGTGTGAAAAGGCTCTACAACTCTTGTTTAGACTCCATCAGCTAATTTTGAATTTACTTTTATTATATTATTTTTAACAGGGCGGGTCTAGAAAAGTCCGTTTAAATCCCATAACTCCTTCATCTGATGTTTATTTTCATCATACATTTTACTGTTGTACTCCTATTGTCAGTGTCTTCAACTTTCGTTTAGGTTGTGTCGGCTAAAGATCGCTCGATCTCTATTTCGAGTTTTTAGTTGTCTACTACTAGGTCAGAAACTTCGAAAATTCATAACTTCCTCATATGAAGTCAGATTTGGGCATTCTTTTTATGTATGTTTGCGGTTTAGTGAAATATACGACTTTCATCTAGATACCTAAGGCTGAAAAGTATTTTATTGAAATTTCTCATTTTATGCTTAAGAGCGCTTTACCGGTAGCGTTATGAATCTTAGATTGGTCATAGCTCCTTCATTATAGCTTGGATTTTAGTGTTCTTTATACTTTTGGAAACCTTATCACGATATCTACCACATAGTGTACCCAAACAGAGCTTTTTGAACATTTCATTTTCGATGATATTCTTATTACTTTACAAAGAGGTTACAAGACTCGACTTTTAGTCATTACATTGACCTGCAATAACGGGTTGTCACATCATCCCCCCGTTAGAGGGAATTTTGTCCTGAAATTAATTACAAAATAAGTGTCAATGGACTAGGGAAGAGATGCAGGTACTTTTAATGCATCTTATCTTCTCGCTCCCAAGTGAATTTAGGCCCTTGCTTAGCGTTCCAGCGAACCTGCATTATTGGTATGCGACTCTGTTTAGTTCGTTTGATTTCCCTATCCATGATCTTGATAGGTTCTTCCACGAAGTTGAGGCTCTC